GAATTTATTTATACCTCGCCTAATAATAGCAGCCGCATAATTCCGTATGCTGCGTATTTCGAGGAATGTAACTAAGGCAGAAACTGTACCCTAAATGAATCATTAGCCAGTTGTCGGTTAACGCGACTGTTAGCACGAATAGAATCATTGAAACTAAGAGACCTAGGCCTAAAGGTATATGTTTTTTTTGACAAACTTCCAGCATACTTGCACAAATTAGCAAACGAAAAATTTACCGAAACTTATCACCTAGAAACATGTTCCACATTCGATATTTTTACATTACGTAATAATTTACATTTTCTCCAGCCTTCGCCTTAATGTAGAACATGAAAAGTGAGGATAAGTTAATTTATCTGAAGCTATTGTTTTTTGTTTGTCTGAAGCGTAAATATAATAATGTTTTCATATCCGTCGCCGAAAGATGAGGGATATATTCCATTTGCATCGCCCAGAAGAAAGGTACAGAGGCCGCATAATATATCTATATTCTCAAGCAGCATTAAATTCTAAACCGATTCAAGCATGTCGCTTTGTCTATCTTTGTAATGTCTGTGGCAAACGTTGTCTTGCTCGCAAAAATAAAACTACCAACTTCAAACTTTCCAAAAACGTCGGAAGTTTTTGGACGTACGTTTGTATTAACACTGGACACATGTCTTCTCCAACTACAAATTTCTGATTTTTAGCTTATTAATTGTAAACTGTAAATCACGGAAGTCTGAAATTTTCTATGTGGGCCTACTAAGCACGTAAAAAAATGGAAAAAATCGCCCATGCCCGCAAAAAGTTATAAGAGATCAAATTTTTCACTTTTTTATGGTACTTCGTGTGCTATTGTCATATATTGTTGCGACGAACATTACACTATAATATAGCATGGCAATAAGGTAATTGATAAGCAATTGCAATACTGGCAAAAGCTGCAGCCACTGCCGCCAGACGCACCCGTAACGGGTTGTAAGTAGACGTCACGAGAACTGATAATTGCAGTGATTGCAGAAATAAAATACCATGAATTGGAATAGTTTATGAAATAATTACTACAATGTGAGTAGAAACGATTTACTCGACTATGAAAAGCTATCATATAGAAAATAGCTTGACAAACGGAGTAGAATACCAAAGTATACTTCAAAGAAGCATTTGACCGAGAAAGTTCAGAGCCTTTAATGTATTGTTGCACTAACGCTTAAGGGTTAACGACACTAAATGACCGAATAATGACAACTTTACTTTTTAAGCGAGTACGTATCTTAATGATAATCGTAATAAAAATTTATCGAAAATATTTTTTAGCAGAACAATAAAAAATAAATGCTTACGAAACTCGGTTTCTCTTCTACTAAGCTACTAAGCACAGGGTGTAAGAAATGTAAATAAAGAATTTTATCACTTTTCTCTGCTTTCGATATTATGGCGTTAATCAATTTGGCGAGCGAGGCATTCAAAGAGGGCATAAATATAAGCGTAAAGAAATCCAAACGTACTATTTCCTGAGAACTATTCTGTCGGATTATGTACATGCCATTAAAGTTAGATTTAAGTAGAATCGACTAATATTTTATTTTTTTTAAGACATAATCGCAAATCTAACTATTTTGTATGAACTAATCGAAAATCTGAACTTTTTTTTTTATACCCTTTACCACTTATATTACAATGGTATACTAAGCTTGTGCGGATCACCTTGGGATACATCGCCTAGAATGACCTGAAATAGACCTATCCTTCATTTTACATTATATATAAATGATTCTGAATCGATCTAAGTTTGTCTGTCCGTGTGTCAATCTGTACGTCGCAATTTTTGAGCTATTTTGATCAAATTTGGCACATCAGTGTTCTTTTTTCACAATGTCTGACGCTATTGAAAATAGTTTGGATCGAACTACTTCCCACATAACCCTTTATTTTAAAAAGCCGTTATATGAGCAATTGTATTAGGGGATATGATGTAGAGTGATGGTGATGCTGCTCCATCATACCGTCGGTCTTGGTTTCAATGGTTTAAAAGTGCTGATATTGATGTCAATGATAAGCCGTGGCCTGGAGAACCAAAAAGCTTGAAGACCAATTACGAGAATTGGACGAAAACCCAGTTCAAACTGTCAAAAAACTTTCAAAAAGCTTAGCATTTGATAAATCAACAGTTTTTAGACATTTAAATTAATAAATGCTTTTTCAAGCGAAAAAATGGCCAAAATATATGAAACCATCTAATATATGTATATAAAACGTAACAAATAAAATACATTCAAAAATGAAGGAAGTAAGAAAATTTATTTCGGCTGTGATCGAAGAGACCAAGAAAGGTTGACTCTCGCTGTTCGGGCATGTTTCAAAGAAAACATAGTTGTCACGCAACATATCAGGATCATGAAGATTCATCCAACTGTTTATTTGTTATACATCATATGGTTGCAATTTCTAGCACTAATTCTAACTAAAATCTAGAATTTTCGGGAGCCCATGAAAATAAGCACCTATTCCGTGTCCTGTAAATGCAGGAATAATATTGAAACCTTTTCCCCTGCATAATTTGTTAAGTTGCTTATAGATTAAATTCTACATCAGATCGACGTAAGCTTACGCATTTTTTCAAGCATTCTGCGGTGCTTTTCAACAAATAACAACTCTTTTTTTTTTTTTTTTTTTAATTAGAATTTTAGTTATAAAGCATTATCAGAAGAGAATAATTGCTTTGAAGAACCATTATTGATGAGGAGATTTAAATCCATCGAGGTGTTTGGTTGAATTGGTTTATACGTACCCGTTTGTTTATTTGTGTTTTTTGAAAAATTAGAAAAAATTAGGTAAATTGTAAATTCAAAATTAATTACTTTTTATACAAATTTGTAAAATAGAAAAAAGATAAATTCACAATGCATTATTGCACCCGGTGGCATGAAATGATAATAATAACCAGATTTTTCAACATGAAGTGGTGTTCTGGCGACACATTGCCCAATACACCTTTATTAAAAAGACTTCAATTGCTTAATTATTGTGAAGCTACATTAACAAAAAATCTATAAAAATGTAAAAATATTGGACCAATTTTTTATTTTTGGAAAGTCGCTGAATAATGCGGCTAACAGGCTGTGGAATTTGGCTAATGGTTGTCGAATCAGAGTAGAGGAGGAGCTTAGATCAGTCATTTCAGATTGGTTATCGCCAGCAATAGGGGAAACGGTGCTGTCTGACACACCAGTCATGATTGTCTTGGGCCTGTTTGATGGCATATCAGGGCAAGCTAACTTGCTTTCTTTCAAAATCGTTGAATTCATCCGATTTGGGGAAACCCGTTATTTATCGTGGCCACTTCAACTCAAAGAAAAGGAAACCAACTTGCCTGACTGCTGAGAAGGAAAGAATTGATATATTAAAAGTCGGAAAAACAGAAAAAGATTGAATATCTTTCGCACTTAGGATGCTTTTTGTATCGAAATAATATTATCAGCTGTGGAAGTGGAAATCTTTTTGCTTCAGTTGAAAGTCAGCTCAGTTATGCGATCCTTTCCGTTATACAGCAAGCAAACTGCGTTTCGTAACAGTAGGACTGGAGTTGGCAGCAGGCCATGTTCGTACTTCTTTGCGCCTCAAAATACACTTTAGATTGCAAAAATTTAAAATTTTTTTAACAAAAGAAGGGAAAATGGTTGCCACATCGTGTTTACATTGCTAGCCAAGCAAAAAAGAGGAGTTTTCTGTGGCGTATTGTGATTGGCGGTGAAAAGTGGATCTATCACAACAACTCCAAGCGCGAAAAGACATGCGTTGGTCCAGGAGAGCCGTCCACATCCACATCGACAACCAAGCCCATTATTTATGTTCACAAAGTTGTAGTACAAAATGTACTATATTAAAAGCTGCCAGAATCAAATGAAAATATTACTGCAGGTGACTATAACATGATTGAAGAAGTTGAACAATGTGTTGTTGCAAAACAGAACAGCAATATCGCTTATCAAACGCAAAGTCCATTGTATGGAAATGATGATAATAACAATGCGATAGGGCGTGAAATGTATGAAAATGAAAATAGAGGAAAATAAATGTACTTACTGGTGGATAAAATAACGAACAAACAATTTTTTTTGGTCTTTTTAGTTTTTTTCAAAAGAAATTATTTTTAATTTTTTCGGCACGCACTTGAAATACTTCACTGTTTCTGTTTTAAAAAAGAAATGTACATTTTTTTTTTAAGGAGAAGTAAATTGAGCGACCACTTGTTAGAATGTAAAGAAATTAGTTGGGCTAACAAGTCATTCGTCGCCATGTTAATAACTATTCGCCGTTTTTGCTATTTCGAAAACTATTATCGGAAATTCCAAAAGACCTCCTTAAGAAAACCCATTCTTACCACCCATTGCATGACAACTTCGGCCACACGTTGCAACACATTTGAAAGATATACTGTTGCAGCTAGAATGGGAAGTTCTGCTGAGCGCAACGTACTCCTTAGACATAGCGCCTTCTGATTACCACTTGGTCTGATCGATGCAGCATGGTTGGTGCTTGGTTTCAAAATGCTGAAGAAGTGCGAAAACTTGGTTAGAAAACAAAAGTGTCAAGCAAGACATTACCACCTTCTTCATATTGATGTATTGTTCTAAAAAAATTTTGTGAAGACATATGCAATTGTTTTCATGCATTATACCCTAGGAGACACTTCATCTTGTTGGCACAACAATCACAGTTACGTACTTTGTGACTTGTCATCAATCCTAACTCTAATTTTAATTTCCTTTAAATGTTAAAACGCCTTCCAATCGATGTTCGATGGTACAATAGTTACAAAAATTCACTTGTGAACGATATTTACATATCATTTTTCCTAACTATTTCTGTTCGTTGCTTCAAAAATACCTCAGTAATGGATTTAACAAATTTTGTATTCTTTTTCTTTAGGTTTTCTTATGAAATTCTTTAATATAAAAAATACGTACTCACGTCGTAAATATGTTTGCATATATATTAAATATGAACAAGAAATATAAAGACTTAATTAAATAGTAAAATAAATACTCCAAATTCAAAAAAATTAAATTTAACGAATTTCATATAAACAAGATACAGAGATACAGAAATATGTCTATAATGTGAAAGACGTAAATATTCCTATGTTATTATTTTACTAGTCTAAATTATCTTCATCCTCCGAATTACAAACGTTACAATGTTCATTTTTATGTCGGCCTGGCACGCAGGGCTCATGGTATACATGACCGCAACTGAAAACCAAAAAAACGTAAACCAAAAACTTACACCAAAAAAAAATTATACCAAAAGAACGTACACCAAAAAAACTTAAACCAAAAAAACCTACACCAAAAACACCTATATCAAAAAAGCTTAATCTAAAAAGCTTACACCAAAAAAAATTATATCAAAAGAACGTACACCAAAAAAGCTTACTCCAAAAAAGCTTACACCAGAAAATATTACACCAAAAAACTTACACCAAAAAAGTCTACACCATAAAAATGTACACCAAAAAGCCTATACCAAGAAAGGTTAATCCAGAAAAGCTTACACCAAAAAAATGAAACCAAAAAAACTAAACAACTAAAAAATTTTACACCAAAACAACTTAAACCAAAACTACTCCAAAACCCTACACCAAAAAAACTCTACACCAAAAAACCCTACACCAAAAAACTTGCACCAAAAAGACCTATACCAAAACACCTACCTACCTGAAAACCATAATGCCACAAGATGGGACAACATCCTTTTTAATAACGCTGCGTTCGCAAGTGGCGCAGACGTTGTGATAACTAACAGCGAGACCACGGTTTTGTTCGCGCACGACCTCAGCATGCATTGAAAAATAGTCAGCCAATTGGATATTATTAACAATTTGTAGTTCGTCTACCTAGAATAGTGAGTAATTATAAAATAAAATGAGAAATCGTGTTGGCTTTAAAGCGAATCTTCAATATGCGTAAATGTCGAAAATTTGAACGCGCATTGCAAAAGTGATAATAGAGGTAAATCATCCGCAAATCTCTGACGATAAATGTCTTCAATGATTATAAAAATTTACCTGTAACCGATAGTCACATAACATTTTTGTCAACGATTTCCTTAGACCGGGTATTTTCTGGCCAGATTTGATTTTATCTACCAAACCTGCAGGATTTACGTAACCTGGAAGAAAAATATTTAAACGATTTTAACATACTTTTAAAGATAACTTGCATTACGCAAATATATTACCTATTATGCCATCCAAAAGTTTGGTTAAAATTTCTGGATTTTCTATGGATTCAACGATAAGTAAATTCCACAAGTCTGAATCATCATGCTCTTTGCAGAAGTCAATTCCCATTTCAATATTTTGTAGCTAGTAAATGTAACTTAGCTTTTTTAACGCATAGTTCTCTATCTAAAGTTTTCTTACTTTATGAATAATAATGTTTAAAGCTTCCACTATGTTGCCCATTTGACCCAACAGGTAAACCATTTCCGGATAGAATAATTTACTCCTACAAATATCCAACGCTTCTTGTATAGGATAATGTTTGGATCGTTTTAGAAAAGGCAATAATTTGGTCGGTTCGTATTCAGCATATAACTCTACTAATCTCCAGTGGAATGTACCGCGACTATCCATCTTATCTAAAGCATCTAAATACTACAAATTTCCTTTTAGCGAATTTATATTGTCATTTAAAAGAGGTTTTATACCCAATATAAATATTCTTGATTTTGTTCCAGCTGTTGTACCACAATTTCTGGAGGTACTCTACGTTTATCCAGTAGTATTTGAAAGGCACGCTCACGATCTAATTGAATTAAAGGAATGATCATTTTATGTATAACACTGTAGAGATCATAACGCCTAATCAGATCAAAAACCGCCGTATTCTGCAACCTGTAATTACGTCAACATCAAACAATGGTTTAAAAAAATGGTTCAAATCCTCCGTCTTAGTTAAGCGAACAAATCGTTACTTACTTTAAATACATAAGCAAAGCACTTTCATAACTTTTTTGGTAGGAATATAACATAGCGAGTGACTCTAGTAACTCATTCATATTTTCTTTATTGAAGTGGTCATGTATTGCATTGATAACCGCTGAGCAATCATATAAATGTGAAGGCCATTCCTTGATCAATTTTAAAAAACCTTTGACATCATGTTTCAAGTATTCATATAATACCATCTCATAAACATGAGGATCCAATTTACAATCATCTGTTGTGGGTAAATAAGCGCTAACAGCTCTTAATTGTTGAGGTTTCACAAACTTAAACACTTCCTCTTCCCATAGGTTTTTATTATTGCCTAACACTCGAAGGCAGATTTTCGCTGCCGCTTCATATTCCTTTTGATTAATTAAATGATTGATATAGAGTCTGTAAGGGTCATTTTGGAAACAAAGAACGTTTTAAAAACAACATAATTTAATGCAATACCTTGCAACTGGTAATACATTACCGCCGTGCGACGGCATAAGTTCCATGGCTTCTTCGAACTTGCTGTAAAACGAAACATCCACATATATTTTCCAAAATTTTGTAATCATTTTATATCATAATCGTGAAAAAACTTCGGGCTTCGAAGAGGCGTTTACTCACATTATTTGACTTTACGACAATTTTTATAGGATAAGAATTAAACGATAATGGTGGTCAGCAATTCCAAACGACGATTTTAAGAATTTTTTTTTAATTCTTTTTAAATTTACCTATGAGATCACATTAACTAAACGAGGAAGCGGACAAGGTCAACACACTTGTGTGAAGAATTTGCGGACGTAATACGTTCATTTAAATTGATTTTTCCTCTTAGCAGAAACTTGCCGCTAAGTTACAAAAATTATAACAAGAAAATACATTGTTTTCTTTAATAATTATCGGTTAGTCACAAGGCTACATAAACGCTCTAATTTGACGCTCTCCTAAGCTTTTGTTTAATAGGCTGGAAAACAAAAGAATATTACGTACTTTTATTTCGTACTTTCGCTCCTATCAATAAAAAAACAAAAGTATTCATTGAAATTGGCAGTTCCGTTGAAACTAATGGTAATTCTTTTGTCAAAAGTTAAGACTCAACCGTACAATAAAAAAAAAAAAGACAGATAACAGCTGACCGAGTGTTAACCGACAAACAGAAATATACTATAGAATCTAAGCCGTTCTTCAGCACAAATTTCATCTAATATAGAAATGTAAAAGTTCTTAAATTAAAACATAATAATAAACAACGAAAAAGTCTACAGAATTAAATTAAACATTGTATAAAATGGGCGTGCAATATAATTTAAGACAATAATCTTGATTGCCTTAAAAATGTGACGCACGTACGACGACAGACTTTAAGAGAAGCAATTTATAAAAGAATAGCATGAGACGGATGAATAATTTAGTTACTTTATTTACAGCCATGTTTGCCTTTTTCTTTGGTAGCTTTTTAACGACTCTGCTGACTAGCGTTGATAAGTGTCCAGCCCATAAGAGCGGTGTGACTAAACTTGAGCCACATCCTGAGTTGTTTTTAATGATTTTAGTATTGAGTGCTCCACAGTATGAGGAAAAACGTCTAAGTTTACGCAATACCTGGTTGCGTTTAGGTCAGCCTTTGGGGTTGCCTTACTATCCAGAAGATTTTATTTACTTGCCAACTTACAATAAACGCGGTCACCTAGAAAGAGAAGGGCCCTCGGAACAGGCGAATCGTTTGCGTGTTTATGTGGATTGGTTGGATAGTGTACAAAGCCCTAAAAGCTCTGATGTACCCAAAAGAAACATCAAAATTAAGCACTTTTTTGCTATTGGTACGTTAGGAATACATCCTAACTTACGTGCAAATTTGGATAAAGAGCAAGCACAATTTCAAGACTTATTATTTCTGCCTCGTTTAGTTGATGTTTATGCCAATTTAACTGAAAAATTGTTACATTCAATCGATGCTTTGATACATCATTACAATTTTACCTATTTACTTAAAGTAGACGACGATACCTATGTGAAATTGGATTATTTACTAAATGAGCTAGTCTCTTATGATCGCAAATTAATACGTAAAGCTCGAGATTATCGTGGAGATCCTTTGCCAGCACTTTATTGGGGTTACTTTAATGGTCGAGCTAATATTAAAACCAAGGGCCAATGGAGTGAATCGAATTATTATTTGGCACAGCGTTATATCACTTATGCCTTAGGAGGTGGCTATGTGTTGGGACGCATGCTTTGTGAATTCATAGGTAACAACTCTCACCATCTTTCTTCCTACGTTAGTGAAGACATTTCTGTTGGCACTTGGCTCGCTGCCTTCCGTCATGTATATAGACGTCACGATCCCCGTTTTGATACCGGCTATATGTCTCGCAAATGTCGAGCACACCATCTCGTATTGCACAAGCGCAATGAAACACTAATGCGCGATTTATATAACGGTAAACTGTGCACCTTTGAAGCAGGAAATGAAATATATTTGAAAAGACCTACAGAATATTATTACGACTGGCGTAAAACAGCAGACAAATGTTGTGACAATTTAGTCGCGTAGAAACAATTAGCAAAACTATATACAAAAGCTTTCTAAATTTAAAAATCATTCCACCTAAATTGATGTGAATTATAATTGAATATCAAACCAAATCAAAGCACAATTAAAAAATAAAATTCTACCAATTATTATAAAAATATGTTTAGTAAATATAAGCATTTACTTACCGGTGTTCAATTAACCATTGGACGCGATCTTCTATATCGAATAATGTAGCTACAACTATATCTTTTGGTGCCACAATATAATAGCGGTTTTCTTCATTCAAACAGCCCAAAATGTAATCATTAACCATGTATTCCTTGTAACTGAAAGCAAAGAATAGCAATATGGTAGGAGATTTCATTCTCATTAGCTTACCCTCTTAATGATAAACTGTCTGTACAAACTTCCTCACTGCTATTAAGCTTATATTCTAAGACGGATAGTAAAGGACGCAAAGCATTACGTTCAGAATCTTTTTCCTTTGGATAGCCCAAAACGACCAGCTGATTTGAGGTTAGAGAAGCCAAACCACTAACGTAGAAATTTGTTTGGAATGTAGAGACTATAAAAGTTGTGTAGAAAAGGTTAAAATATAACAGCAAACAATAAGAACAACCATATTTACTTACTGGGATCAACTATAAAGCCAGGTAAAGCTTTTAAGGTCGCTTCTACTGAATTTCGCCTACGTATGACGCAAATGCGTATTGTATCTACCCATCCCACTAAGAGAGTATTAGAATTTGCCCATCGAAAATTGCAGCGAAAATTTTCCAAACGAGCACTAGAAGAAATTTTAAAAATTTATAAAAAAATGCCGAAAATATAGTATGCGTACTTAGTTGGCTCCTCCCACTTCATAAGACCCAAAGAACACTTCTCAATCAAATCGTAAACGCGTACTCCTAAACAACTCGCCCAAGCGATAAAAGGTCCATTCCAACATACCGATATAACGTGGCCCTCAGCAGCAGATAAAACATTGGATTTGAGCTTTTTTAAGAAATTCTTTTCAAATAGAGTTAGTTTTTCATCCCCTAAGTGGACGTTCTGATTAATTGAAAACGTTTTCTAAACGCAATGTTCATTCATACCTACTATAAAGCGCCTACCCTCGTTAGCTTTTGGATCTGGATCTAGTACCACTGAACGTATAGACCGCCCAAATGTCAAAGTTTGATTATTGTCATTGCTAAATAAACCAATTATATGAACCCTGCCATCATCCGAACAAGTCGCTATACATTCACCTTTAGCATCAATATCCACTTCATTTACCGCTACAGTGTGAGCAAAGTTTTGATCATTACAATTCAAATGAGAATCCACGGAGTTTCCTTCATGATCTAAAAGGTAGACACGTCCCAGAAATGTGCCAAATATCAAAAACTAAAAAAATAAAAAATAATTTAAAAGTGGAAGAAAAACTTCATGTAAAAACTACTTTCGGGTGCACCGCACAAGCGGTAACCACATCCTTATTAAGAATATCTTTTAAATCGTGAGCGATGCGCTGATATTTAAACTTTGGTTCTATTTCTTCTTCTGTACTTTCTTCCGTATCCTAAAGCAAAGGATAAATAAGTAAAATCATTGTGTATATGTAATAGCTCCGAAAGTAAAATCATACACTATTTGTTGTTTCATTACTGGCCATAATCCAATCGTCCGTATCGATCTTTTTTATCAAAAGTAAAATTCTGAATATTATCAATTCCTTTCACAATGTCTCTGTTGTTTGCCATAATAATTTTTGGGTGGACAGCTGCACGATTTTCCGCCAGAGTTGCCGTCACATCTGAAATTTTCAAATAACCAATATGTTATTAACATAAATTTACGGTACTTGGAATTCTGAAAGAAGTAAGACGCAGCAGAGAATAATTTATTTTTGAAAATTTTAGGACTCAAAAATTAGACACATCTGCAAACATATAAGTTGACCAGCGACTTCAAATTATAATCGTCCATCGCTGACACGTTGTCAGAGATGTCGTTTAATGAAAATTGAGTTTACTAAATCAGATGGCAGTATATAGTCTCTCTTCTCTTCTCGCTCGTTTTCATTATTAGCCCCCATCTCTAATTTTTCCTTTTTAAACATACCGTTGTTTGAAGCAATTTGCATATTTATAGAATAAGCGTGGGTTGAGTCAATGGAGAATATGGTTGTCATATTTTTAAACTTTATTCTTCTTCTTCTGTTCCAACAAACAAAAATTCTCTGAGATGGGTAAAAAAGGCCTAATGTAAACACAGAGTTCTTTGCTTGGGCCTCAGTAAAATTGGGGTTTTGTTTGATATATAATGTCATTCGTTTGACATCAACATTGACATCAAGCATTGGGCAAACGGCAGCTAAAAAATTTTTCCGTCTCTTCTCGGTGTTAATGGAAAAAAAGAAAAAAAAAAACAATTTCAAAAATAAAGGCAAAAAAAGTGTGGAGAAGAAAAGACATTTTTGAACAATTAACAAAAATATATATATATTAAAAAGAGATGGAGTACTTCGTACACACCTTAAAACAATACTTTAAGTGCGGTAAATGTGGGCATGTGTCAAAGTTCTGTAAAGCAGGACAGGTGTCTGAACTGCGGGAAGTCTCTCAAGTGCGAAAACTGTGAAAGGATGAGTTGCTTGTCCTGTGACTCAGACGACGCTTCAACTTTCTAAACAACAGTTGCCCAAGCAGGGAGTGGGAATTAAATATCAACAAGATTATGGCCATTCAAAATCTTTTTTATACAGAAGCGAAAGAGCAATGAAAACAACATTGAATGTCTGGATGTGAACTCTGTTATTTCAAATCTTCTTCCAGTTCACCCCCCAAGCCGTCTGTAACAGATCTCAGCGACCAATAATTTCGAACGACAGTTTGCGTGCCTCGGAACTTGATAGATAAATCTCTGCGATTAAAAAATGCGTCCGTCCGATCTCTCGGAATCTTCTTCAGGAATTTGAATTATTGCGCTAATAACGATCAAGCGCCTACTATTACGAGTAAATCCGCTGATATTCCCGTTTTTATTTGAAATATGATCTCCTTTTTACAATATAATATTGAAAATGTTTGGCATAACTTATCATTTTTGGATCTTTTACTTGAACTTGGATAATATTGATTTCTGCATCTTAAATGAAGAGATTTGTAAATGCCATCAATGCCAGCAGTTTTAATGTCTTAAATAATCGTAATACTACCTTTCACCGTAACTGGAGTGGTCGTACGGCGAAAACTGTCTTGGATCTAACTTTTTCTAATTCAACTATTTTATCTTTCAACTGGGACACATCGAACGTTTCTATTGGCAAAAGTCAGCACTCTCCCCGCTTTTATTTCAAAGTCCCAACAATTCCGTTAACAACATAGAAAATTTGACTTCGCGCAACTTTGTCTAAAGTTGATCATCCTTCCGCTTTACCATCAATTCAAGGTGCTTTTCAGTCTGTGATTAAATCGGCTGGAACCAAGTTTTCTGACAGTGAGTCCTTCTTACCTAAAACTTGATGGAACTCTTCCCTGTCAACACTTTTTCGCAAAAAAGCTGCAAGGAAAAAATGATTAAATATGCCAATCCAGCCAACATCATTGAATATCCGAAGACACTGAAGGAATGGAGGTCAGTAGTTAGAAAGGCGAAAAGGGCACATGGAGCTATTGCGATTAAAGGGTTACGTGGCAACAGTAATCCATGTTCTTTCTGGAATTACATCAATGGTCATCGACATTCTAGTCGGAAATTAAGCGGTCGTGCTGTGTGGAATGACCATGATAATAAAAGATATTTGGATATGCTCAAGAGCTACATTTCAAGTGTCAATCCGATTACAATACCTTCAATTCCTTTTAGTAGTCTCAACAATACACCCTTTTCATTGCATGTGCTAATGTATGTTTTACATTCCAGAAAGAGGGCTACTGCTGCAGGTTGTGATAAAGTTAAGCATGACATGCTCAGAGCACTGTCTGGAGGAAGCTTTAGCACTGTCTTGCATGCAATTAACAACTGCTGGTCCACTAACTTTATAGCCTCTGATTTGCGTTGCATCGAAATAGTTCCCCTTCCCAAGCCAGGTAAAGACTTAAATGATTTAAGTAACTTCAGACCAATTTCACTAATATCTGTATTCATAAAGACCATCAACCTCATGGTTAAGGAGAGACCAACTACTTTCCTGAAAACTAAGAACATTATTCCAGCTCGGTCTTACGCCTCTCAAAAACGCAAATCTACGAATATGTGCGTTAATGAACTGTGTTTTCTCATAGCCAGCTTAAAAAAAGCAGGGAGAATGGTTGTCATGCTCTCCCTGGACATCAGCAAAGCCTATGACTGTGTCAACTTTTCGATTCCTCTTCAAATACGGCTGTGGATACTTAATTTTTTATCCAAGGGTGTGTTGTTGGTGGGTAGTGAAAAAGTTGAAATATGTGGTGGTATACCACAAGGCAGTTGTTTAAGCCCCATACTTTTCAATCTATACACAACTTCTTTGCATAATCTTCAAGATGACAAAACTCATATTTTTCAAAATGCAGATGATTTCCTAATTGCATCTGCGGACTCATCTTTTTCAGCTGCTATCAATAAACTCTCGATGAAAGCTAATTTTTTTCGATGCATGTTCCGATCTCAATTTGATCTTAATTTATATTTTAACCTTAGCAAAACAAATACTATTTATTTTGCCAAAGGTTCTAAAGGTGAAATCACGCTCTTTATCAAAAGTACTAAAGTTGATGAGGTGAAATGTCTTCGGTTTCTTGGTAGAATTTTAAATGACAACTTAATCCTTCGTGGGCATTATGAGAGAGCCTTCGAAGACTGCCAATCGGGATGTTACATCAAACTCATGACTAACAATCCGTCAGGCTTGCATTCCAAAGACGCTCTGAGTGTATACAAATTTTTAGTCAGGTCCAAAATTGAATTTGCACATTCCACATGTTGCAATTTCCCAAAATATATTGAGAAACGTATGCAAACATTTCAAAATCGAATGTTAAAACGTTGCAGTGGACTGACTCCCTCATCTCCTCAACACATTCTCAATGTCATATCTGGTGAGCGGCCGGTTTCCGAAAGAGCTCTTCTTTGCACTGCCAAAGAGTTAATTAGGATCAAAATGATGAATCCTTCCTGTTTTCAGGAAGTTATATCTCTCAGTGAAAACTTCGTCATATCTTTTATAAGATAGTTCCTCCCTAGAATTGCACTACAAATGTAAGGTCTTCAAGAACATTTTTGAATTAATCTCTATCTTAAAGCAAAATTTTAATTTCCCATGTATGAGAATCTTAAGAAAAGCTCCTTCCTTATTACAACAACCGCTATGATATATATGCTACTGAGAGGTCCGTCGACATAATGCATCTAGCTTCTCGGTAGTGAAGCATCTATCTAAAATAGTACATCGAGTCAAATTGGCGGAGGAACTTTCCTCGACTTTTATTGAGTTGCTCGCCATCCGACATGCTATTAAAAACGCTATCTCTGATGGTATCAAAAGGTTTGGTAATTTTTGTGATAGCAAGTCAACTCTACTTCTAATAAATAAAAGAAGTGCAGAGAATCAATATGTGTCTGATATTTACAAGATGTTGCATGAGTTTCAAGTGGATGACTGTCACCTTGTTTGGGACGTGACCACTGCGGCTTTTTTCAAATGTAAAAGCCGACTTGCATGCAGGACTCGTGTTGATGGGACAATTTTGTGCATCAAATGCACTCACAATGAAGCAATTCGGGCATTTCGCAACGACATCCTTCAACAGCTAAACGACAAATTTAAGGAGATCGCGTGCGTTAAATCCAATCGCCTTTTCTATAAATTAAATTTGAATTCAAACCCTTCTCTGTATCTTCCTTTAATTCCTGGGAAATCACAATTCTTTATAGACTCATTAGTGGTCACTTATGATAAAGATTATTTAAAAATGATTCGCGCTATGCCATGTGCTATTTGTGCTGAGCATCTAATCTTCAGATGTCACAGGCTTGATGACATTAGAGATTCCTTTAGCTTCTTCCAGTTATATGGCTGTCTCGTCGATCTCTTTGCAGCAAAAAATTTACGTCACCTCGGGGAACTAACTTGCTTTATTAGAAAAGCTAATTTATCCTTTTAGAATTTTTTTTTTCCTCTTTCCTTTTTTTTTTTTGCGTTCAATCATCCGCTATTACCATAGCATTCCTTTTCGTTTTCAGCTAACACGTTTGCAACACTGTTTGACTTTCAATACTCAACCATCGTAATTACACAACACACACACACAATTACACTTAACATACCGGCTCTAGTTACTACGGCCGCTCTTGTTTTTGTCACGTTTTATACATATTTCTGAACAAAATTACATTTTATTACCTAGGCATATAACCCACAAATCTATTGGCTTAGTCCATCTCCACCCAACAATCCAAAAAAAAAATAATTTCAAAGTTTTCAATATTTTATTTCAAAGCCTCAAAAGAAAATGCTTATCATTTGCTGAGGGAAACTAAATTTATGGAGGGCAAAAAAGAGAAGGAGTGGTATTGGGAGTGGCTGAAGCATTGGCGGTAACAAGACGTACCGTATCGGAAAGCAACGATAGAAAGAAAGTTAGGGAGACCATGGTACAAATTTCAGCCGAGTTCGATTTTGGCAAAGAATTGTTTGTGGACTGGATAACCAAACAATATTCACTTCTAGTGTGCGCATTAGCTTTTGCTTTAGGGATTTTGAAGTG